AATCATAGTTTCAGATCATCCTGTATGAGCAGCCCGAACAGCTAGACCGCCAGCTAATCCCGTATGAGCAGCCCGAACAGCTAGACCGCCAGCTAATCCCGTATGAGCAGCCCGAACAGCTAGACCGTCAGCTAATCCCGTATGAGCAGCCCGAACAGCTAGACCGCCAGGCCCCTGCCATGTAATTTGTGGGGGGTGTCATGCCACACCCTTGGGTGCCTCGTGCTTCCTTCCTGTCCTTAAATGGTGCTCTCTGTGCACTGGGGCGAAGGCTCCTCATGTCTACTATGAAATGTCAGGTAGTGTTTCGCAGACTTCCTGGGGCGTTCCAGAATGTTCCACCACCAGTCTGTTCCAAGTGATGAACTACTGGGTATTTGGGCAGTACATCATTCTGGCTGGCGCTTTGGCTCCAGAAGGACGGGAGGCAGTACTGAGTCCGATTTCCCCCCCCAGAGTTTGTGCACCTTCATCAGTGCGGCGAGTAAGATGACCCAGCTGCGCTGTCTGTGGAGCTCCAAGGACTCTGGGCAGGTCAGCGCGCTGACATGGGGACTGGCGACCTACACCTGCCTGGGTGAGCCCCCTCCCCTCAGCGACTTCGCTGTTGCACCCTGGACCAGGACGGGTCCTGCCTTCTTGTAGAATTCTTAATGTTTTTCTTCTGGCCTTTCAGCGAGAATTTACACCACGGCCGTGACGTCTGCTGACACACAGGGTGAGACGGGCCATCCGCATGTTTGCCATAATTCCCACGCTAGCTGGTATTTCTGCTCCATCTTGGTGGATGTGATTGGGCTGGGGCTCATTATCCTTTCTCCCCCACCTCTACAGTTCTGGTCCGATTTGTCGTCATGACGATTCTGAATGGGTGGGTTACAGCGGCTGTGCTGTACTACCGACGGCGCAGGACAAAGCAGGACTAAGCCTGTTGTCATGGAGACAAAGCAGGACTGAGCCTGTTGTCATTCAGACATGGGGCTTCCTGTTGTTAACACAGGTGTGGTGTGGAGGCTTCCAGATGGATGCGCTGGGCTGCTCCCCCCCATCACCAGCTGCTGTTACACCAAAAATCCTACGTCATTTTCTTCTTTTGGCACAAATGTTGCATTTTTTTATATAAACTTTTCTCAGTTTCTGCCACCTTCTTATTGTACTCAGCAGAACAAAGTGAAACATTGATCTATTTCCCGTCCCGTCATTCCCGTCCAAAACTTCCTTCCTCCTTTAGAACTGTATCCTAATCACTTCCCTTTTCACCCTTCATGCTTCCAGCGTCCTCTTGGTTAATGGGTTTCCATGGAAACTCAGCACATGCTGGTTCAGTCTGGTCATGAGGAACATCCCCTCCCCCCGCTGCTGACTCAGGATGAGTCAGAACAGAAGGTTCCGGGTGTTTCGGTGGTGACGTCAAGATCAAGTATGGATGATTTTGAGGGATGGAGGGGAAAAAAAACAAAACCCGAAATAATCTAGTTAATGACAGGAGTCGGAACCCAAAGGCTACAATATTTTATTGTCAAATAGACTAACATTAACACAGCAGTATAAAACATGCAGTATGAACATAGCACTTTTAAATATAAAGTGGACAGGCTGATATAAATAATACATTTATGTAAGATGGCATGTAAAAGATATACTGTATATAATCCTATGGAGCGTGCCGTTTACGAAGCTTGTCACGTACCGACATGCTCACACAGCACACGGGACCTACCGCAGAATAACTCTATACAAAAAAACAGCAAATCTGCTACAGCGACCTGCAGTAAAATACTTCAGAGCATGTGGATGGGTGTCTGCAGTTAATATTTTATTTCTTTAGCAAAAACTGACCACAACCTTTTTAAAGTTTTTCTGTTATTTTTTTTGTTTTTTTTTTTTAAAAAAAGAACATTCTCCATTATGAGCACATAAGCCGCAGGTGAGCAGGGGCGTGCACGTGAGCAGGGCTGTGCACGTGAGCAGGGGCGTGCACGCCATTCACACGCGTGTGTTTGTGGGCTGGCCAGCCGCCCCCATGCTGTAATTCCAGCCCTCCTGCAGGGTCTGTGGACAACAGACGGCCCCTCCCCCAGGCTGAACAGGTCGAGCTGCTCGTTCACAGATTTCTCTTTCCCAAAGTGCTCTTAACAGCCCTGCGGTGAAGTTTTAATATTTAATACTAAACAGCCGCAACTTGAGCTTTAAAACCAGCCGTGTAAAAATAATGCGGGTGGGGATCATGGTGTCGCTATCGTCACGGATGGTGCGGATATGAAAATATACATCCTGGGCCTGCGGGGGCTGCGCAGACGCGTGGCCTGAACAGATACATTCATACGTTTGGGTACAGCTGCGTGACAGAAGAGCATGACAGTGATGACATCACACACAGAGGGGGGAGCTCTGCCACAAACACAAATTAAGGCATCACACGAGCAAAGTGCCAAGTAATAATAAAGGGGACCGGGGGGCTGGGGGGGGCTGTGGATTCAGACAGCTCCCGCCCAGAATGCATACGCCCAAGTGGCTTCATGTTGGATCTTGGTTCCCCAGATCAGTGGTGATGCTTTGCTGAAAACCGCCGTCCTGCTCTATTCCGTAATGTGCTGGGGGCCGCGATGGCGTTGCCAGGGGGGTGCCGCTGCAGACGGCCGCTGGTCCAGCACTTCCTCTTGCTCTGAAAGTCTCTGGCCTCTGTCGTCCCCCCCCCCTGCATTCAGGACCATGGAAGACCAGTAGAGCATCTGAAACTGCAGCTTTCCTTGAGAGTCCATTGACTGGGGGGGCGGGGGGGGGTGTCTAACCAGTAGGTATAAACAGGCCGAAACACTGTCATGTGTCTGCACGTTGCCACGGATACAAGCAGTCCAGGTACTCAGACCTGACCCTCCTCGACGCAGAACTGAAGACTAGTTTTCACAAGTGGAAGCCAAGTGTTGCAAACCAGGATAGGAAAGAGGTCTCTAAAAGAATAAAAAAATAGTATCTGTGCATTCATGTCTGTTGTGGGTATGCAAAGTGTAAATGTGTGTTTTCAGTCCTTTGCACTAAGAAGGAATACCACCCAGGGTGTTCGACACATCTACAAGAAGAGATGGTTAACTGTGAGGAGAGAGAGGGAGGGGGAAGGAGGGAGAGAGAGAGGGGGAAGGAGGGAGAGAGAGAAGGGGAAGGGACAAAAAAAAAAATTAGATTCACCTCAGTTAACCAGTGATCAATGTGCAAAAAAAAAAAACACACACGTACGTAGAGCTTGGACAGCAGAACTCGCACACAGCAAGTCTCAGTGTTTCCAAAGCACGTCACACGGCATGCTGGGAAACACACCACCAGGCTTCTGGTTCGCATGTTTTATTGCGACGTTCCACATGGACACAAGTACAGTAAGCTACACACGCAGGTAATTAGCTAACAAACCCAGAAACCAAAATTAGCTGATCTGCGCACTGTCAGAGTCTTCCCACTTCATCTTGGTGCCATCTTGTCTAGGGGGACTGGATAAAGGTCACAGGTCACAGATGAAAGGCTAAAGGTGGGTGGGGAGGGGTAAATTAAATACTACAGACACCGGCATGCAATTCTGCTACACAGGATAAACAGGGAAATCAGGCAGACCAGGCTTCGGAAACGTAAACACAACCAGCAGCGAATGGTTCACGGGACACCAAGTCAACATTAACACTGTCAGCTGACTTTGTGTTACCAATCAGCGAATTGGATTCGCTCAGGAAGGAGAGCTATGCCCTAAACTGGCTCTGCTGTTAATCCAGCTTCCTGCAGGCTTCAGCCTATTGACTTCTGCCACAACGTCAAGTCAGATGCTAATGAGCTTAAGCCCCGGATAACCAGACGCGCAGCCTGTGTGGGCATCCGCCCTCATGGCAATCGGCCCACTGCACACCCACGACGTCCAGTGCGCGCCACGGGTTACCCGCCCCCTCCCTCCCTCTCGTGTACATCTTCAGAAATCAAATACGTCGGCCTCGTCCACGTCATCGACGGCCCAGTCCCAGTCCTGCAGACCACAGTCCAGCACTCTGGAACGGGAGAAGGCGGGGCTCAGAGGCAGCTCCCAGGAGGGGGCGCTGGTCAGCACAGCGGAGTATACGTTCATATCCCTGGAAGCAAGTTCCTGTTCTATGGGGCACACCATCCCTGAAAGCCTTCAGTCATTCCCAAGCGACAGAAAGCATGATGGGATGCACAGAATGTGGGAAAGATGGACATGAAGATGGATGATGGCACGATATGTTGAGGCAGGGTCAAAGGTCACAGCTGCTAGCTTCCTGCGTGACCCTGTATGACGTTTAATGGTCACAAGGCCGTGCCCACAGTCCTGCCCCATCTAACTTCCTTGGCTAAGCGGCAGTGTTAGTTGCTCACATGCTTCCTGGGCAGGATAAGTGTAACACACAGGCGTTAGTGAGGTCACAGTCACGTGACCTGTGCACACTACTTACGGTCTACCACAGTGCGAGAATGGACAGGGGTCAAAGGTCAGTGGAGGATGATTTTGAGCATGGGGCCACCACTATGGGAAGTTAGCACCAGACAGAACCGTCAGGCTACCAGAGGAACCCACCATGCTTGTGTTCATCTCGCAAGTTGAGCCTTGATCCCGTTATAGACAACAACAAATCTGGGCCATAGAGTATCTGATAGCAGCCCCAAGACCAAGAATCTTGGGATCATTAAGAGATTTACTGACACAAGAAAACGTATCGACATTAGATAATGGTGACAAGATGTCCCCACCCTACATCTGTAGTCCAGGGCCTGATATAAATGTGAAAAGGGAAAGCCTGCCCCCCCCCCCCCTCACCTGGGCTTCCCAGGAGGCATCTGGCGGCTGGGCCTCCTCGTGGTCTGGCTGGGCTGTACCTTGATAGAGGCACGAGGCGAGGAACGAGCAAAGTGTTCAGGTGGAGGCGGCTTCTTGGGAATCTTCTTCACCAGTCGGCTCACCCACTTCTGCTGCTCCTCCTGAGATGCGGCCAGCAGTAGCAGGTTCTTGGCCGTCGATACGTCGTAGTTCACTGAAGTGCGTAAGACAGGAGGCGCATTAGCTGGGAGGTGCATTGGCGGCAAACCGCTTGGCGGGAGCCACGATAGCCATGATCCGCCCAGTGGGAGCCGTGTTAGCCACAGCGTTAGCCACGAATCGCCCAGCAGAAGCTGTGTTAGCCACAGCGTTAGCCACGAATCGCCCAGCAGAAGCTGTGTTAGCCACAACGTTAGCCACCAATCACCGACCGGGAGCCACGTTAGCCACAGCGTTAGCCACAGCGTTAGCCACAGCGTTAGCCACAGCGTTAGCCACAGCGTTAGCCACAGCGTTAGCCATGATTTGCCCAGCGGGAGCCGTGTTAGTCATGAACTGCCTAGCGGGAGCCACATTAGCCGGGAGCCAAGTTAGCCAGCCACCAAGTGCTCTGTGGGAACCATGTTATTCTCAAAGCGCTCGACGGGAGCCACGCTACCTCAGCGGAGTGACCAAAGTGTCTATGTACACTGTCTGTGCGGTTTACTTTCAATAAGACAGAAGTACATTAAATATTAACATAAAATGAAATTAAAGACGGTTATTACTGTATTTGAGATTTTATCAGTACAAAGCTATCTCCCAAACACCACTACCTGATACCTCCCCTATACTGATGAGCAGGATGTCAGTAGCGTAGCCTGCTCCACACAGCCCTCCCGCCTAGCGACATGCTCACTGACCCTTGCAGGGGGCGATGACCTCCTCCTTCTTGTCCATGTGGTCCTTGTGGCACTTGATGTGGCAGCGGCGGCATTCGAGCGCGGGGGGTGGCTTGAACATGTTCCACAGCGGCTTGGTGCAGGCCTCGCAGTTGGTCGGTAAGTGGTACCACGTGGGGATAAACTCATGGCCCTTGTGGCAGATGTAGCTAAACTTGTCCCCAATGGCCTCTACTGGGAACTCCTGCTCCTTCTTGCTCTCCCCTTCATTGGCATACAGGATCTAGGAGGGCAGATGTGGAGAAGGGGAATCACATCACACGAGAGGCTTTCACGGAGTACAACGTGATCAAGCCATGAGACAGCTGACATCTTCAGTTTCTTCAGAGATCCGAGGTGCGTCTTCCAAACCCGGACCTCAAGCGCTTCATGCCGCATTCGGTTTTTTGGTTGATCTCAGATGTTGACCACAAATCCTGAAATAAGCAGCACTTCTTTTCAAGCCACAAGAACAATGTAATTATGGAATCGATCAGTGTGGCTTCAGAAAAAAGGACCAGCAGCCCTCTGTACATGATTGAGAGGAAGCCTAAGAGGACTAGCAGCGTAGTCTATGTTGTGGCACCTGGAATATCCTGGGGATCTCTTTGGCGTCGGCCCGATACACATCCGTCTGGGTGACGGGCCTCACGTGGAAGAGCTTGCTGCGGAAACAGAGAACGGAGCGGATCAGAAGTGCATTGGAAACCGGCACCACGAGTCCTCCTGGGTACAAAGCGGAGCCAGTCAGACCGGCGGGTACTCACTCGATGTCCAGAACCATGTGTGGGTTGGAGTGCTCCTTATCCTGCTCGCTGTTGTAGAAGAGAATCTTCTTGCTGCTCACTACCACATACTGCAAGGACGAGAAGGAGACAGCATGGAGCCTGGAGATTGTAGACAGTGGAGATTCAGATGTGCTTCCTCACTAAAAACTCATTACACTCCTGGATAATGGACCACCTTGTTGGAGAACTTTAAGTAAATTACCTTTTTTTCCCAACCAAATTTCTTGGTGTTGTTTCTGAGTGGAAGCGAGAGCCAACCCTCCAGCCTGGTTTCTGCAGACGACACAGAAGTGCTCAGTGGTCCATGTGCACCAACAGAAAACGAGTATTCCAAAATAATAATCTAAAAAAGCACCTCCATCACTAAAAAATGTCACCCGATCATGAGCTAGTTAGATTGGTCAGTCACAACTTCATACTATTAGAGGCAATAGTCTGGGCCAAACCAGGAATTACACCCAGTCGGTTAGAAGACTATTTTAGACAAAAGAGCAAACCCAGAGAGGACCTGAGGAAAGACAAAGAGCTCAGCAGGATGGATCAGTTAGGTTAGTGACACTGCAAGGGTATCGCGAAGTCAAGGCTCATGCTGACATGTGACGCCAAGCAGGTCACCTGCATTGTCAGGTTCTGATACGGCATAAGATTCAGTTTCAAGTTCCAACTCGTCATCCTCGGGCTCAAAGACACAGGGCCTTGTGTCGACGCAGACAGAGTGGGAGGTGAGCTCATAGGTGAGGGAGAGGGACTCGGACGTGTGGGAGTGTGTCAGACGCACTGAGGGCCCCGAATGGGAGAGAGACGGACAGAGAGAGGAGGAGGAGGAGGAGGAGGAAGTACGGAGACATGGAACCAAAGAGAAGAAGGTCGCATAAGAAAAGCAGAGAAACTGAACAATGATCCAAGACCAACGGGAAATGAAACCTGATGTCGGAGATGATGCATCATTCAGTCGGGAGAGAATCACTGTTTCAGATCCCAGCTATGAGGTGCCGAGTGCGTTACTGGTGCATTACCTGGGTAGGCGTCGTCACCATCGAAGTCGGGGCCACTGCTCATGCTGGCCGAGTCGAGCGAGTGCACGTTGAGCGACGTCAGAAGGTTACGCAGTTGCTCAATGTCACTGTCTTTGCTGTCCAGCGCCATCTGCAGCTCGATGCGTACCTGGCTCTCGTCCGCGATTTGCTGGGGGGAAGGAGGGGGCGGGGCTTCACTTTGCATGAAGGACCAGAAGGCTCTGAGAGTTCAAACCATCATGTGACTAACCCAGTTCCACAGGTGACACTGGGTGACTTCCAGCAGCGGCATTTCCCACCACTCAAAAGGTGCATTTGTGTGGAGCCCCCTACTGGCCACAACATCACTACTCTAAATATTAAATGCATTTCTTATTTAGTAGCATGCTCTGCTAACCAGCTAGCTACAATCTTCTAACTCTACTTATTGGCTATTCATTTAGCTTTTGAAACAGACTTCTTCATTGGGGCCCCAGAAGTAACAAAAAGCCCCTTGTGACTTCACATGCTAAAGTATTAGCTGAATGGACCGATGGCTGAATGGGCCGATGGCTGAATGGACCGATGGCTGAATGGACCGATGGCTGAATGGACCGATGGCGTGGTCTTCTTTGGATCACCGCCTCAGCCACTGACCGCTTGCATGTCGTTGATCTCCCTCTGGTACTTGATGATGCTGCTGTTCAGCTTCTCCTTCTCCGAGCGAAGCTCCAGCTGCAGCCTCCTGTTCTCCTTATCCTTCCTGCGCATGTCCGTGTCGTTTCCGCGGCGGCTGCCACCGCCACGCACTTCCTTCCTGTTCATGATCTCCGCCAGCTTGTTCACAGCCTGAAAAGGACGGAACCAACAACTGAATGACTCGGTCTGATGTGTGAAGATCTGCGGGTCGCGACGGTAAGGCACCCTGCACCGGACCTGGGTCTTCAGTGTCCTCTCGCTCTGCAGCTGCTTGTCAAAGGATATCTTCATCTGACTCAAAAGCAGTTCTTCGTCCATGGTCTTCTGCAGCTCTGAGGGGCAACACACATCCATGTCATCATTATAGACACCAGCCCCATGCCGACATAACAGCGAACATCATGCCGTAAGTACCTCACTCCAAACCAGCTGAACATCTCCCCATCGTACTTTAAGAAACTCAAGAATCAGCCTGGAAATGGTTACTTACGCTCTTGCATCTCCTTCACCTTGTTGTTGAACTCCTCTTTTTCACTGGCCAGGATGGCTACGTCATTCGTCAAGGTGCGGTTTGCCTCTTCCAACTGTAGGGGGCCGGAGGAAAAAAAGAGACCTTTATGCCAAAGTCCAGGTCCTGAAATTAACCTTATTCCAAACCTAGCTCCAAATTTTCAATGCCCTTGAATATTTTATCACTTATCAATTATTACAGGAAGAGCTGTCATGAGAGGCAGTATTGCACGTGATGGTGGAGCACCAGAGTGTTCCGCTGCACTCATTCCTCCTAAACCATTTCGATCATCCCCGTGGGCCACAGCTGTCCCATCCCATCCCGCCCCCCCCGCACACCGAGCTAATGGTGGTGTCCTTCTCTCCCAGCTCCTGCTTGTGCCGTGCCATCATCTCCTTGATCTCCAGTTCCTTCATGATCTTCTCTTTCTCCAGGTCAGAGTACTGCTCCTCGGCGATGGAGCGGGCCAGCTGCTCCGAGTCCGCCTTGGTCAGTGTGATCTCCAGCTGAGCAGCCAGCGAGTCCCTGAAGGCGGGGACCAGTGGGACCAACATCAGACCAATCGACTGACAGACAGGCAAGCATGAAAAATGGAGGTGCACCAGATAGGGGTCAGGCCTCCCACCTCTCTTCCTGCAGCTCCTGCAGACTCTGCTGGATGTCTTTGTACAGCTTGTTCTTCTCTTCACACTCCTCCTTCAGCTCACGCACCTGCGTCTTGTACAGTGTCTAGGGAGACAAGTAACCGTGGTTACAGCATTATGGACATGCACCGCCCCCCCACCTTCCAGGATGAACTTACGGAGAAGTACTGCTCAGCTTCCAGCTGATCCTGCAGCTCCTTCATCTGCCCATCCGCGTCCTGCCTCTCCCTGGCGACACCCATGAACATGTGTGAGCACAGACACACACGGGGTTGGATCGAGCCCCGCCTGCCCCTACCCTGCCCATCGCTCACCTGCGCAACTCCTGGTTCTGCTTCTCCAGGCTGCTCTTGATCTCCAGCAGGTGGTTCACCTCCTGCTTCAGCTGCTTCTCCGACATACGCACAGCATTCACTTGGTGGTTCTGGGCCTTCAGGTCGTTCTGCATGAGGCTGCGCTTCTGCATCTCCTGCTCAATCTTCAGGGTCAGGTTCTTCACCTCCTCTGTGAGCTTCTCCTTCTGCGCTCGCAGCTCGTCCAGCTTCTGCTGGGCTTGCTTGTAGTCGCAGTCCAGCATGGAGCAGCGCTTCTCCAGCTCCAGGAGGTTATTCTCCACGCTCATCTTGGAGGCACGTTCTTCTCGCAGCTTCTGCTCCATCTCTACAAGGCGGTTTGCACACATTAAGTATCAAAACCAGAACCAACACCAGCGTGGTTCACAGCACTGTGGTCTGTCCACAGACCTCCCCTCTAACTCGGAATTCCCTCATGTCCCCCAAGTCTCTTCTGTACGTTAATCTGGTAAAATTCACCTTCCCATCCCCCACCCTACTTTGATGGCCACGCCCCCAGCCAATAGGTCCCACCTCCCAGCCCATTGACCCCACCCCCAACCAGGTGGCCCCACCCCCCAGCTAGCTGGCCCCACCTCACCCTTCATGGCCTCAGACTTGGCCTCCTCGATGGACTGATAGATCTTGTTCTCGTCCACGAGTCGCGCCTTGGAGGCCTTGTGTGCTGCCTCCTCCTGCTCCAGGGTCTGCTGCAGGACCCTCATTTTGTACGTCATGTCAATCTCCTGGTTACTCTTCTCCTATTGGTCCACAAAGGAGGGGCAGAGGATAAGGGGAGGGGTCAGCAATTATGGCTGCACATCTGGACATGTACCATGTGATTCTAACCATTTTATTTCTCTCTGAATATTTACCATATTTGCAGTGCAAAATAGTTTTTAATTTTACTTGCCAAGACTGTAAACAGTGCAGGTAGATCAGATAATTAGCCCAGTTTTAGATTCAGAAAAGGCCACATCATCAGTCAGGGGGAAGAGCTCCTCACCTTCTCCAGGTCAGTGAGCTTCTCCTGCAGCTCCCTCTTCTCCATCTCAGCCTTGGCCAGGGAGCTCTTCACCTGCTGGACCTCATTCTCCAGCCCAGAGATACGTCCTGCAGAGAAAAGAGGTGTTAGAGTGTGGTTAGCATTCGGGAAAATGGGATAAACAAAGTCGTGCTGGGAAGGGGGGTGGAAGCTCACACCAGAAAGTAGTAAAAGACTAAACAGACTTGAAAAATGTCCCATGATTATTTACTACAACCTAGAAATAAGTCTTTGTTTCTATACTAAAAATCACCAGAGTCAGCATTGCTGGCTCTAAAAACCCAAAACACATCCATCTTGTTGGAAGCTCTTTGCCAAACCAGTGAGAGCGAACATAACACATAATCCTCTTCTGGTACTTTCACCAGCTGACACTACTTAAGTCTTCCTGTTCTAATAACACACCCCTTTTCTGTGTGTTTGGAACATTCCATTCCAATGCGTAACATTCCATTATATGCGTTTGGAACATCCCATTCTAACTGAGGAGCCCAGCTCAAAGTACTCGATTCGAACAGAGAGGAGCCCAGCCTGGAACACCCAATTCTAAGAGAGGAGCCCAGCTCGGAACACCCGATTCTAACAGAGGAGCCCAGCTTGGAACACCCAATTCTAACAGAGAGGAGCCCAGCTCGGAATACCTGATTCTAAGAGAGGAGTCCAGCTCGGAACACCCAATTCTAACAGAGGAGCCCAGCCTGGACTACCCGATTCTAACAGAGAGGAGCCCAGCCTGGAATACCCGATTCTAACAGAGAGGAGCCCAGCTCGGAACACCCGATTCTAACAGAGGAGCCCAGCTCAGAACACCCGATTCTAACAGAGAGGAGCCCAGCTCGGAACACCCGATTCTAACAGAGAGGAGCCCAGCTCAGAACACCCGATTCTAACAGAGGAGCCCAGCCTGGAATACTCGATTCTAACAGAGAGGAGCCCAGCTCAGAACACCCGATTCTAACAGAGGAGCCCAGCCTGGAACACCCGATTCTAACAGAGGAGCCCAGCCTGGAACACCCGATTCTAACAGAGAGGAGCCCAGCTCAGAACACCCGATTCTAACAGAGGAGCCCAGCTCAGAACACCCGATTCTAACAGAGGAGCCCAGCTCAGAACACCCGATTCTAACAGGAGTACAGATAGGGGGTAACTGCAATAAAATTGCTCATTTGCCATTTGTAGCTGTTCTCATCGTGATTGGTTCACAGCCTGCCCTACCACAACCCTAACTTCTCCAGCATACCCTGTAGGTCGGATATGGTCTCGGAGCCTTGACTGCGGTCCCTCTTCTCTGCCTCAAGTGCCGACTGCAAGCTGATGAAGTCCTTCTCCAGCTTCAGTTTGCCGTTCTCCAGCATGCAGCACTTATCCTGAAGGTCGCGCCCGTTGGACTCCAGCTGCTGGATCTGCTTGCTCATCTCCGTCTGGGTCTTCCTGAGGCGAGTGGCTGCATCGGTCTCAGCACGCAGCAGCGTGTTGGCTTCATCCAGCTGGGGGCAGGGGTGCGCATGGGATGGGGAACGCATGTTAAACATGTGAACACTGAGAAGCAATGAGCCCGCGTCATTCAGTAGACTATTCTGATATAAGTGATAGGCCACGGTCCGTGTTCAGAACAACACGTAAACCCATGACCTCCTTTACTGGACATAGGAAATGGACATAGGTTCTTCTGGGCCAAATTGGACCGGGCCACTGTTCACTGACCTGCCTCTGGAGCTGGATGTTCTTCTCGTTGGAGATGTGGGAGTTCTGGTTCCTCTTCTTCATTTCATCTAGCTGGTCCCTCAGACTGTTCACTGCAAGGGAGGCACAGCTTTGTGGCTACGGAGCAGCTACATGCGATATACACAGGATATACATGGCAGCTGCACGGAAGCTACACTGCAGCTACATGCGATATACACAGGATATGCATGGCAGCTGCACGGAAGCTACACTGCAGCTACATGAGATCTACACTGGAGCTACAGGGGATCTACACTGGAGCTACATGGGAACTACACGGCACAGTGCTGTGCCAGCAGAGGGACTCACCCTCGCTCTCCATGACCCGCTTCTTCTCGGACTCGCTCTCTGCCCTTCGCTGGCTCTCTGTGCTCTTGTGCTGCAGGAGCACGTTCTCCCGTTCCAGCTGGCGCAGTGTACTTTCCATACTCTTTCTGCTGCCAATCTGCAGATGTTAAGAGGGGTCAGCAGGTTCTCTCCCTTGTGTGTTCAGCCCTGCCGGCTCTCCTCGGATGGCTCACCTCTTCCTCCAGCTCCTTGGAGATCTTCTCCAGACGGCTGCTGGCAGCCCTAAAAAGACAACAGCACCGGGTGGCCAAATGAGATGCCCACATGTGGAAGATGCCATGGCACCAGTGGTCATGGCGACCAGGCAGGACCCCGGGAGCCGTTCAGCCTGCCCCTCCCTACCTGCACTTGTGCTCCATCTCATCCTTGGCCTGCATCTCGCAGTTAAGCTGCTCCTCCAGTTGGTGGATTTTTTTCTGAAGCTGAGCAGACTGGGAGGGGGGTGGGGGGTGGGGTTATAAATAGGACACACACAGCGGACGGCCAGTCTGGGGGCACAGCTGCCTCTCAGGGCATCTCTGCCATTACAATCTAATCTACACAGAACTTTCTAGAACTTGAACATGCACAACACAGTAGAAGATTGTCGAACATCTTAGAATATCCGTGGTGGCTTCCTGTGGCTATGCGTGGTTCTGAATGGACACACTGTGCAGCAGAGGGACAAGGCAGTACTCACTGCGGGGCTGTCCTGTAACAGAGAGGAAAACTGTCAGTCTTAATATTTCTACATATTTACATATGTGCAGTGCAGGTGGTAAACACTGCCACTGACTATGCAGCACCTGAGAACTCAGAGTATTACATCTACATTTAAGCCATCCTGCCCACTGGCCGTCAGACCTCAGAGAGCCCAGAGGAGAGCATCATGGGAACAAATCCTAAACACCCACCTCCCCCTTGATGGATGTCTTATGCTCACTCTTCATAGTGGTGGAATTTGTGTCATTTAACAACCTGTGGGGTAAATTGAGCAGAATGAGATTTCCCCCCATCCACAGGGGATTGACTGCAGGGGGGGCGGGTTTGGGAGCTTCTTACTGGTTCTCCTTGAAGTAGGTGAAGCCCACAAATGGCAGCTGGTTGCCCACGAAGGCCTTGGGTGTGGGGAAGGTCTCCACGTCTCCCTTGTCATCCTCAATCTCGTCAAAGTTACTGGTGTCGACATCACTGGCCAGTTCCGGGACCACGGGGGCCACAGCTGGGGAGAGAGGGTGCCGCAGGGGGTGACAAAGGTGTGTGTGTGTCCAATTGCAGAATAGGCAGGAGCTGGCATTACTCTGATTCGCTTCCCCTATGAGCCTGGTGATCCAGGCGGTCAATCAGAAAAAGGGGCGGGTCTTGGAGGCGGCCGTTTCCACAGAAACAGCTAGAGTAACATCCCTTTGGAACGACACTCTGGGCCTGTGGGGAGCCGCAACTAAGGGCGACAATACACAGGACAACCTTCTGAGCAATTCTGCCAGGCAATGTTGCTCAGACACTTTCCTATTCATGTTGGGCAACAGATTTCTATTTGAAAAAAAAAATCTGTGACCAGCAGTGGGCAACTTCTCTCGATCATCCAGTTCCAGATGAATTACCCTTTGTCTCATCTGGTTGGCAGTTGCCCGGCAACATTGCTCAAGAAGTTGCCCCGTGTATCATCACCTTAAGGCGATATTGACACACTATGATGGGACCACAACACATGGGACCCGGTCTGGTGTTCAGCGCCTGACTGACCCAGGCTGACTGTGCAAACAAGCAGTGTCATCGAGGAGTGCCACATCAAACTTCCTCTTCATCCAATTCATCATACTTTTCTGACATTTATACAGCAATTCAGTCCAAGTACTTTACAACAAAGTACTCCTATGAACTACAGAGCACTGTTGCAGTAAAGGTAGGCTGCTCTCTATTTTTTTATTTACACATCCAACATCCACTGATTTATTTATATTTCCTTAATATTTTGTTTTCCAGGACATTCTATGTACTTTTCATTTGAACCACGTTTACTTCGTTTGCACTACAGGTGTGTTGGGCTGTACCCAGCATACCTCGCTGCTGTATGCACAAAAATCCCTCCCTGGGATCAATAACCATTATCTTATCTAATCATGGGACGCGAACCAACACCCCACTTGGTTATGAACTCATTGCCTTAACCATTTAGGCCTGTCACGATAACTTCTTTTGTTGGACGATATCATTGTGCTTTTAAGATGATTTATACCACTGATACCATTATAATAGCATAATAGTGCAAGTGTAGCCTTTCAAAGAGCAATGAACTTGAGAATCTTCAGACATTGGACAGTAAAGATATGTAAATGTCTGAAATAAAACAAAACAACCAAAAAAAGAGATAAAATGGACTCTCAGGCTCTTATCAAAAATGTACTAAAATTACACTTGGCACAGAGGTGTAGAGGGGCACTATGCTGCCAACCCAGTCCCATGGCAGCTCTACTCGGTGACGCGATAAACTTCAATCATTCATTGGCCTGGGGAAAAGTAGCAGGGAGCCAGGAAGTAGCCAAAGAATGTATACAAACACCTTTACTACCCTCTATGATCAGAATGATGATAAAAATGGCGAGTTGATTTGAAGAATGACTGAGAAAGTCCAGAAATAGCAGCATTTATATGATTCCATATAAAGACTCCCAGACGGGTACAAACTAAAATAAAATGTTTGTACTGCAGCACCATATAGCTGTGTGTCAGAGTCAGTGTCCTCATCGTTTGCATTTTTTTATTCGGTTTTAATAGTATTGTTCATTTTCTTTTGAAATCTAGTTTTGTTTTATGTGTAGTTTCACTAGATGCCCGGCTCGTTGGAGCTGGAAGCACGGACACTGAGTATTGTAGATACTCCAGCTTTACAGCCTTCAGACGTCTGCGTGAAGTAAAAACCAGCCCTGAGCGGCGTCTGCAAAGCATAGCGCAGACGAGAGAGCGGACGCAGCGGACGGTGTGAAGTTTTAGGGCCATTCGTTCTCATGTAAACACTATTTACTAATAGCGAGGTCAGAAAAATGATCGAGGTTACGTCCATATGCAACACGATAAGTCGGTAACGTCGTTATCCTGACAGGCCCATAACTATTACGAGATGAGTAGAGAGACGGTGACGGGACTGAGGAACACCTCACTGACGCAGGTAAGCAAACAGGTCCAGTCAGTTACAGCTAACCTCTGTAGCCTCTTCTATGCGTCTCTGGACCGATCAGTACCGGACCGGACTGGTCAGGCCCGTGATAAAAAGCAGCACTTACTGTCCCGGATGGTGTCGAAGGTCCACTGGTCGTTTTGGAAGAAAGGGTGTCGTCTGATTTCCTGCACACCACTGCGCCCCAGACGAACCTCCCTGTGCACAGAGCGAGGGTCACATGTCTGCCATGGACCAATCAGACACCGTCCTCCCCTGTGCCCGCCTCCATCGCGCGATTGTTTGTCATTCACCTGTCCGTCAAGAAGGCACAGATGAGGTCTTTGGCATCCTCAGATATCTCCACATCGTCTGGAAAGTTCAGAGAGTTCTTGTGGTCCATGATCTTGCTGTAGGTCCCGACGAGGGAGTCGGCATAAAACGGAGTGTCGCCTGTGACGATGGAGAGAAAAGGGGGAGAGAGGGGGGGGGTTACTCTGCAGCTGACAGAGCCTCAGGTCTCGAGGGGGGTGGGGGTGGCATGTTCACTCACCAACCAGCATCTCGAAGATGAAGACTCCCACTGACCACCAGTCACATTCCCGCCCATAGTAGCCGTCACCGCCCTGGGACTTGAGCACCTCAGGAGAGATGTAGTCTGGGGTGCCAACGGCCGTGTCACAGCGAACCATCCCCGTCTGCCAGACAGAGCCCACAGAGATCAAAAGCTTTTACTCCAGAAACCAGCCACCTGCCTTGCCCCCCTCCCCCCACACACACTCAGAACACAGGCAGAAAGACTGATGGACAGACAGCTCCATCAGCTTCATAGTGGGCAGGGACATCCCAGTCCACCCAGACACTATGGGGTGCTGGTTTTAATTCCATTACTAGCCTATAATAGGCAATAATTTTGCAGAGCTGCTGTCGAAACTATACACCAGACTAAACCCTAAACCACCCTGCCAACTGGCATTCACCGGCATCCCAGTTCACTGGCAGATGGAGAGTCAACTGTCAGCTCCATCCACCAAAGGGCAAGCTGGTGAATTCGCACACAGAAGCCATCGATTTCCCACCCGGCGATATGGAGCCGGAGCTGAGAGACATGCAGTTTGATACAGGCTGGCCAGGCAGCAGCATCGCAGCCCTCATGTGCTAATGGGCTAATTAGCATCGGATCGAACGACACTGCTCCCATGAGTCGGCTGGTTCATACATCCGTGTTACAACCAGACCCTCAAAACTAGACCCCAAGCTGCGAATTCTTAACAAACAAGGTGTGAATTATGCTAATTACACAGTGGCTGAGAGCCAGCAGCAAGTCACTGTCGGGGGTTGGGTGCAGGTCACATTCTGTCCACTAGATGGTGATGCTGAGCAAAGCTTCTGCAGCTCTGACACTCCATGCTGCTAGATGCAGGGGGCTGACTAATCCGCAGTGTGTTATTTGGTGCATCACTGGGAGTGGGGGGGGGGGGGGGTTATGTAGTGAAGCCCCCCCCCCTGCATTCTACAGTCTGCATTTACTAACAAAGTCCTGTTTGAATGCAGCATGAAAGGTATGAGGATCAGTGCACAGTTTGCTCTCGGGACATTAACCACGTCCATCTGTCTGTACCAGGAAGACGGGGTGACTGGCGGATGCCACTGGGGGGTGGGGCTCACTGCAACCCTCACCGAGTCCATCTTCATGCAGGTCCCGAAGTCGGCCAGTTTGAGGTGCCCCAGGTGGTCCAGGAGCATGTTGTCGGGCTTGACGTCGCGGTGGATGAAGCCCATGGAGTGGATGGCGTCCAGGGCCAGCACCACCTCTGCGGTGTAGAAGCGGGCCCACTTCTCCGGGACGTCGTAGGTGCTGGTCAGGTTGACGAGGTCCCCGCCCGGCATGTACTCCATCACCATGAATAGATAGCGCTCATCTTGGAAGGCGCAGCAGAGCTGAGGGGCACAGAAGCAGACGGCGTGGCTCGCAAACATGCTCCCAAGTCCCGCGACACCGCACCCCCATCGGCTGAGGCGGCCCCACCTGGACGACCCAGGGGCTGTTAGCAAAGGCCATGATGTCCCGCTCCTCCCAGAAGAAGGCAGAGTCAGAACGCTTGATCATCTCAAACTTGCTGAGCACCTTCATGGCGTAGACCTTCTGAGATGCCTTGTGGCGCACCTGCCAGAGAGGACACACAGAGCGGAGATCACACACACAGGCACAGAGACAGGGACAGGGACAGGGACAGGGACAGGGACAGGGACAGGGAGTTCAAGGTTCAAGGTTACTTTCTCCATGGACCTGGTGCAACATATAGTAACATATAGTATACCTAATATTACAGTAACAGGGTGTGCAAGGTGCAAACAGGCAGTAAATAAATAGTGCAGAGATAATAAATTGTGCAGTGAGGATCAGTGTGTGCATGCACACCCCCCGCCGCCTTGGTTCCTTACCAGATGCACCTCACCAAACGCCCCCCTACCGATGACTTTCACTTTGTCAAAGTCCTCTGACTTCATCTGCAGGTCCCGCACGCTGCCCATCAGCTTCTCATCTGTGGGAGTCATGGTAACGTCACTGCACTGTCATGGCAACGTCAAGACAACACCACGGTACCATCACAGCACCGCCATGGCCAGACGCTGTGCCTGCATGGAGGGCCCGAAGGCCTTAACCCAGATCCCCCCCAGCCTGTGCTAACACAGTCCCCCTCAGCCCCGCTAACCAGTATGGACTGGCTGAAACAGCATCACTGACGTGTCTGACGATTGAGGGACCGCCGATGTCCCGAAGGCACAGAATCCCAGCCCAGGAGGCGCGGAAGCACTTACATCTCTGCAGGAATGTCTCGATGTTTTTGTTTTTCCGCAGCGCAGGGAAGTCCAGGTCCAGGACCAGGGCATTCATGGCATCCTACGGGAGACAAGAGCAGGGGGCGATGAGTGAGGGGCAGGCAGATTCCATCCGCACATCCACCCATCCCCGCATGTCCTATGCGGGGTCGCAGGGGTCCAGAGTCTCTCCATCATAACAGGCAAGCGAAACGGAAACAGCACAGCCAACCTCACACAGACACAGGAGAAGAGACTGGCCAGAACAAGAACTGGGCTCCGGAATGACCCAGCGGGTCTTGTGTCGCCACTGTATGGGGGCCAGAGTCACTCCAGGGTCACGCAGCACAGCTGGCCAGGTCTAGAGCAGAGCTGCAGTCATCTTGTGTGCATGTGTGTGTGTGTGTGTGTGTGTGCGTGAGAAAGCAGCAACATGCAGATCACATGACCAGGAGACCATCGCTGAATGGATGGGAGAGAAGCGGCTGCAGTCTCTCCAGCCCGCCTTCTACACAGGCCAGGCCGGCTGCAGTTAAGATGATTGGCCATATCTGGTCTCCTAGGAGACACTACCCACAATCCTCTACACCTGTTAACCCAACTGGAGGCTGCGAATGTGCTGGTCGCCCACACAGCCAAGCTCATAAAGCACAAACACTGCCGCCACCGCGCCAGCCACACAGGATCTCCACGCACAAAAATGGCTTCTGAAGGGAAGCACTCAGGGTTCAGCAATACAGGAAGTGACATGCGGCGTCCACAGCCTCGGCAGGAAGTCAGCTCCCACAGCCAGTCTGCAAGTCATTTCCTCTGTTGCCTCATCTATGGGCCAAGCTCTGGCCATGTGAGCCCAGTGCATGCTGGGAAACGGCTCCCCCCTCCCCCATGAGGCACAACAGACCCAGCAATTTGCCCTCAGAAGGTCAACACCACCCCGCCCCCCTCAAACACCCCGTGCAGAGCAGGAACAGCAGTGTAGGACAAAAAAAACATGAGCACCCCCACACGGAAAACAACAGGAAAGACTGTGTATCTGCACATCCATTCCAGGGATATTTGTGGTTAACACCAGGGTAGACGGGGGGGGGGGGAGCTTCTCCCGGGCCATTAGCCTGCCTGCTGATAAGATGAGCTGAGGCTGGGGTGTCTGTCACCAGCCCGATGGGGGGATGGGGGGCCACAGAGGCAGTAAGCAGAGAGACACACAGTGCTGCTGCCTCACTGGCAAAGCTGAGGATGGTCAGGCAGCGACATACAACAGT